TGTCACCATGGCTGGCTAAATTTTGTATTTTTTTAAATACTTTAAGTTCTAGGGTACATGTGCACAACGTGCAGGTGTGTTACATATGTATATATGTGCCATGTTGGTGTGCTGCACCCATTAACTCATCATTTACATTAGGTATATCTCCTAATGCAACCCTTCTCCCTCCCCCACCCCACGACAGGACCTGGTGTGTGATGGATAACATCCGAGTATTCTAACATGATGATGTTAATCACCTCTATGCATATTGTTAAAATATGTATGCAGTTTTACTAAAATGTTAGATAGAATATGCCTGAAATTTATGTAAGGAATAAAAGCAGATAAATAAACCTGAAAATGTCCCTATGTTTATTATCTTAAATAATTTGAAGATGCATGAATAAAATGCATAGATTTGCATTTACTGAGAGGGGTTCATTCATCCAGGTTGAGAAAATGCCACACAGTTTAGAGCCAAAGGCCTAGGAAAAATTCCCCTCTCCTGCTCACAGGTCTTGGGCAAGTTAACCTTACTGAACCTGTGTTTCATTGTTAACATGAGGGTTTATACAAAAAGCAAGTATTTTTTAATTGTCTACTAGGAGTAGGCATAGGGCTATGGAAATAAATAGGACATGGCCCTGTCTTGCCAGAAGCTTACGTGTTTTTGGTGTTTAACACCAACATCAGGATTGCTGAGAAAATGACTAGAAGGGTGAAAATGCTTGCTAAACTATAATATTTCATGCAATTATTAAACACAGTTAATGTATAAAGTGATTCATAGTTTGCTATTGGGAAGACATACAAATTAAAGACATTTAGTAAAGAGATATCAGATAAGCTCAACAAGATTTTATAATCCTAGTCTTCCCAGTTCCTTCCTCTGAGATGTAATACATTACTGATTTATTTATTAACCACCCCTTCCATTCTGTCCCATACAGGAATTTAAGACTTTCTCAGTCCTACTCCATTAACAACAATAATTAATTATGCCCCATAACATAAAAGTTAACATGACATTCATTCTTCTTAGGCTCAATTCTCTTACAATGGAATTTGGAGGTGACCTAGACACTTCTTTTTACTCCTCAATCCTGTTTAATATTGCTGGAGGACCAAGAGTCATTCATTCAACATTTATTGATATCTACTTGCTAATGAAGGTTTACAGCAATATCCCTTGAGGGATAAAGATTTCCTACCCTGTCATGGGAAGAAATATTCAGCACCCTGAGGATGTCTACTCCATTCTCTTGCCTGTTGGAACCTTCTTGGGGTGTCCTTTAGATCATTTATATCAAACAGATAAGCTTACAGATGGTCATCAAGGCTTTGACTAGGAGCATCTGACACCAACACAACACAACTTACTGTTTCATAAGTTTACTCCTTACACTAATGTTACTTTTTTTTGGGTGGGGGTCTAGGGTATTTTGCTTTTCACCCAGTTTTTATAAAACAATGCAAGCCTAAATGAGCATGAGATTATACACATATAATACTTTCATGTTTAGAGCACGGGAAAGACATGTTTGTTAACAGAAAAGTTTAACCATGCACAAGTAAAGAGAACAGATCCTAACTCTCTAGTGGGTTCCAATCACAATGTATTGAATTATTTTAAAGTTAACCTAAAGAGATTGTATATCAGGAAAATAGTCCTTTTTCTTTACGTGTATTAAAAGCAATAGATGCAATTAAACCTGAAACTGAGAATGAACAATTGTGAAACCAATGGAAAAATTTGTGGATGATTTAAAACACATTGTTCAAGATAAATGGAGGGGTGATGACTTGATCAACATCCTCAAGAAAAGAAACAAAGCATGATTATTTGAGGACACGGATAAACACTATTGAATATATGAAACAATCTAAGTTCACAAATCACACACACACTACTATATTTGATGTGTTATTTTAAAGGATTTTTTTATGATAATTTTGACTACTGGAAATTTTTACTTAACTTTCAAAGCTCTACTGTACATACAAAAAGAAAAAATTTTTTTCCTGGTTTCAATTCCAAAGATGTGGTCCTTATTGCAATAATGAAGTAGAAAAAGTAAAAGGTACTTACTATATGTAAAATAATAGAACATATTAAAAAGTCTGTTAGAACCCTAAGTCCCTAATACCCATATCAGAAGCCAATTATACTTTAAGAGCATATTTGTGTTTATAACTTAAGACCACAAAAGAATACCTATTTCAGTGATTAGTATCTAAAACGTGATGATTCAGTGCTTACAGGTTACAGATCAGTGAAATGGAAACCAAAATCCGTTTTGTTTTGTTTTTTGAGATAGTCTCGCTCTGTCATCCAAGCTGGAGTGCAGTGGTCCGATCTCGGCTCATTGCACCCTCCACCTCCCTGGTTGAAGTGATTCTCATGCCTCAGCCTCTGGAGTAGAGGGGACTACAGGTCCCTGCCACCATGCCTGGCTAATTTTTTTGTATTTTTAGTAGAGATGGGGTTTCACCATGTTGGCCAGGCTTGTCTTGAAACTCCTGACCTCAGGTGATCCACCCACTTCAGCCTCCCAAAGTGCTGGGATTGCAGGCGTGAGCCACTGTGCTGGGCCTTATAGTCCTGCTTTAAAGAAACTTGGTGGGAGAATTCAAATTGCCTCTTGAATAGTGATGTCAATATTATTAGTTCCACATCTGACCATCTTGACTACAGCTGCTGCTGAGACATGGCAAAATTTTCTCAAAAGGGAAGTATTTGAACAAACTGAGATATAAAATGAAACACTCCTTAAGATTATTACTTTACCTTTCTGATTTTGGGACATTCTCTGGTGAACTATGTTATTTTGAAGTATCTCTCACAAGAAAGTTGGGTGGGTCCAAAAGGTTCTAGAATCATTTGAGAAACAATTGACAGTCTCTGGACTAAAATGTGTTAATCCCTTATTCAATCTGAGAGTGAATGGCATGTCCTGCACTTAATGAAATAAAAAGTGTTTGATCTAGATCTCTTACCAGTTTAATCCTGCATTTGTAACCACATTTTCCTCTTAAAGAAGCTGGAATAACTGAGAGAACAACAGTCACAAAGGCATGTGAAGAATGCCTGCTTCCCTCTCCCTCATTCACTGAACACCTATGTGCAGGCACTGAGGATTAGCTCCCAGCCTGGATTTGTATTCATCTTTGGACCTTGGATCCTAGCAGTCACATAGGAAGGATCATATTCTTAAAAAAAAAGGATATTAACTAGGAAATATCTCCCTCCACCAGCTGTTCCCCCACTTCTAAAGCAGGTTTTGCAATCTTTTCTGCACTCCCAGGAAATAAATATACAATTGGAGATGTGCTGCTGCTGCTGCATACTTTAAATGGTTTAGTTGCATGACAATTACTTTGAAGATAGCTAGGTGACGGGTTTTTAGGAAAGGAAGTTTATATTTTGAGTGCATACATAGTATATGACAGGTACTGTGTTAAGTTTACCTATTTTCTCTTATTTAAATTCTACATATTTATTATTCCTATCTGAGCCTCAATTTTCTCATCTAAGAAAATAGGTATAATATCTATCTCAAAAGACTATTATGAGGATTAAAAGGGATTTTAAAAAACACTAATATTTATTGAACATCTACACTGGATTAAGCATTGTGGTTTGTTCCCCCACATACTTTATCTTATTCATTAGCTGCATTTTAAAACAAGGAAAATGAAGTTAACCAGAGGTGGCTAAAACTATTTTTCCCCAGTGGAAGAACCTCTGCCAAGAATCCAGAAAACAGGCTGAGGGCAGTGGCTCATGCCTGTAATCACAGCACTTTGGGAGGCTGAGGTGGGCGGGTCACATGAGGCTAGGAGTTTGAGACCAGTCTGGCCAACATGGCAAAATCCTATCTCTACTAAAATACAAAAATTAGCCAGGCCTGGTAGCACGCCTGTGATCCCAGCTACTTGGAAGGCTTAGGCAGGAGAATCACTTGAACCCAGGAGGCGGAGGTTGCAGTGAGCCAAGTGCAGTGAGCTACTGCACTCCAGCCTGGGTGACACAGCAAGACTCTGTCACAAAAAAGAAAAAAAAGAAAAAACAAACAAACGAAAAAACCCAGATACAGGCAAGGTTGTAAGGAAAAGGGAACCCTTACACAGTGATGGTAGGAGTATAAATTAGTGCAAACATTGTGGAAAGCAGTATGGCAATTCCTCAAAGAGCTAAAAGCAGAACAATCATTTGACCCAGCAATCCTATTACTGGGTATATACCTAAAGGAATATAAAGCATTCTACCGTAAAGACACAAGCACACAAACGTTCACTGCAGCACTCTTCACAAGAGCAAAGACATGGAATCAACCTAAATGCCCATCAGTAACAGAATGGATAAAGAAAATATGGTACATATACACCATGGAATATTATGCAGCCATAGAAAAGAACAAGATCATGTCTTTTGCGGGAACATGGATGGAGCTGGAGGCTATTATTCTTAGCAAACTAACACAGTAACAGAAAACCAAATACTGCCTGTTCTCACTTATAAGTGGAAGCTAAATGGTAATAACTTAAGACTATGAAGAAGGAAACAACAGACACTGGGGTCTACTTGATGGGGGAGGGTGGGAGGACGAAGAACATAAAAGATAACTGTTGGGTATTGACTGAACTAAATACCTGGGTGACATAATAATATGTACAACAAACCGCTTGACATGTTTGTCTATGTAACAAACCTTCATGTGTGTACCCCCAAACCTAAAATTTAAAACAATTTTAAAGAAAGTACTTTCTGATTACATCACTGGTTTGATCAAGATCTGTTTGGTTAAGGGAATTTTGAGTTAATACCACCTGATCTGAATTTCACAACTGATCCCAAAATAAAATGAGTGCCCTATTGTAGACTACAGGGAAACACTAAAGTTAATAGGGGAAATCTATTAACATTAACATTGAGGGATAAATTTGGACTTAATGTTTCACATATATTTTCTGACACCAACATTAAAACAAGAAAATGCTCATTTCACAATGAGGAAATTTTCCAATGAATTTTATTATCACCAGCATCTTTAAAAATTAAGAGGAATTTTCTGAGAGTATATATAAAAAAGAAATTAAAGGCAAATATTTTGCTGCTAAGGATTTAAAAATAAAAACATAGAGTATAAAATTGTCATTTCACTGTCCCCTCATTTAAAATTATAAGAATATAAGCAAATAACATCCAATGTCAGAAGAGATTCAGGGTGACCATTTGCAGTATTTAGTGGCAAATTAGTAGCATCATGAAAAATTTCAATTCATTAAAAAAAATAGCTTTTATTTAAATAATAATTATGTTGAGCTTTATCTCTGTATATAATTAGACTTCCTTTCGGCTTAGACAATTCCATTTTCTCCAACTGGGAGCTGTGAAGGATCAAGTCCTACTTTCTTCATTGATATGGCAATATCAAATAAATAGTCATAACACTCACACCTGTAAAACAAAAAGCAAAAAGAACCAGTGTTTATTGAACAACAGAGTTCTTCAATCCTAAAGAATCACATTTCTCCTCTCTTACAGTTAACTCTGCTTTGTTCCTAGTACATATTTTCTCTCAATTCTAGGCCAAAACTTTATTTTGCCCTCAACATTTTTAAAACACAGAAAGGAATCATATTAAGTCATGCAACCATATTACATACCTCTCAGGAAATGAAAGAGAGTTTAAAATATACTGCCTACATAAATTTACACTTTTTAAAAACTAGATGTCACTTTCTGAAATAGAACTTTTGTAACTTGGGATCTGTGTCTTCTTCCTCTATTAACATTCCTAGAGCCTTGCCAAACAATAGCTCATCCAATCAATACTTCTTCATGAATGAATATATAATAAAAATAAAGTATCTAGAAATAATGATAAACAATTTAAATTTAAACCAACTGACATACTTTATTTTCTTTCACATTTAGCAGGTGGTAACTTATTTCCCATGTTGATTTACACTCACATGGTTTTGGCTTTCTCCCATGTTTCCCCCCACACATATACTCCATGACGTCTGACCAGTACTGCACAGGAGTCTGGGTATTCATTCATTGCATGAGCCATTCGATCTTTGAGGTCTTTCTCCTCAGGTGTATTCTCAATAATGGGTACCACTAACATATCATCATATCTGTAAGACAAAACAAGCTATTTTTTTCCATTAAAAAAAATCAAGCATTGCTATGTATACAATATGTAATTTTTTCAAGTAACCAGTTAGACACGCTCTTTTTATGAACAGGATATTGCGTGTTATTCTATGTATCTTGTATAACCATCTCTACCAAAAGGTACCTTGGTAATGTGGCAGGCTTGGTCTAATCCTAATCCTAAGTGGTGGAAATTTGTAAAATACAGCAAAACCTAACAAAGAAATCATCAAGATCATGCAAATGTTTCCTTGAAGCAGGGACAATCATAATATTTACACAAGGAGATGGCAAATGATATATTGCAGAATCAGAAGCATAGAAAAGATTAAAAATTGAATTATATATTAAGAATTTCCCAATAATACAAAATCACTGTATTTCATTTCTGCAGAACCCCAAAGTATCTGAGATAGGCAAATCAACACAAGCGTGGTTTGTGGCACTAGTATCTCAGATACTTTGTAGTGCTAAAACTTAAAAAAAAAAAAATTTCTAGCTAAAGTATTCAGAAATTGCTACTGCAGGGCAAGCATAGACTAAGTAGTCATCATGTGACTGATAACTTGGCCAACCATTATCATTAAGAGTATAGAGCTGCCCATTACTTCACTTAAGTAAAACAGAGGTAATTATAGAATATCCTTAACTATGGCTGAGTGCGGTGGCTCATGGCTATAATCCCAGCACTTTGGGAAGCCAAGGCAGGTGGACTGCTTGAGCTCATGAATTCAAAACCAGCCTGGCCAACGTGGTGAAACCCTGTCTCTACAAAAAATACAAAAATCAGCCAGGTATGGTGGTGCATGCCTGTAGTCCCAGGTACTCGGAAGACTGAGGTGAGAGAATGGCTTGAGCCCGGGAGGCGGAGGTTGCATGAGTCAAGATCGAGCCACTACACTCTAGCCTGGGCAACAGAGCCAGACTTAGTCTCAAAAAAAACAAAACAAAACAAAAAACAAAAAACAAATCCCACTATCCTTAATATTGAAGGAATGAATTGCTAGTCTCAAATCTTTCCTAATATTGGCCAAGAGAACCACAAACTTATATTTTTCTCTAGCATGCACTCAATAGTCAGATATATTTTCAGGAGCAAAATAATTTCACAGCAAAATAAGACCTGAAAGCGAATTCAAGCCAATCCTCCCACTTTACAAACATGACACTGATCCAGACAAGTTAAATGAGAAAGAGAGCCAGGATAGCCCTTTGACCCTCAAAGAGTATTGTTTTCACTGTACCATAGAAACGCTGCTTCTGAAAGGGAGTACAATTATAATATAAATGTTATGTATACGTATACCATTATACAACTATATGTATACATATATATTATATACACATGTATATACGTATACATTATACAGATACATATGTTAACCTTCCCTGGTAAGAACTAGTACAGTCATGACAGAAACCATGTTTCTGTCAATGTCAGACCACAGATATGATAGTGGTCCTGTAAGATTATAACGGAGCTGAAAAACTCCTAACCTGCATGGACTTGGTGGACTGAACAAAGAGGGTGAACATGGGAATAAAAGATAAAGACAAGAGAGTACGTTTGGAAGAAGGGGTTGGGGGCACCTTGCCTCTAGTGGACAAGGGCCCTGAGCTTTACATAGCCCTCCATATTTATTGGTAAAAGAGACAACGAGAAATGGGGGGTGATCGTGGGGGGGTGATTGTCAGGCAGCTGTCAGTCAGCCATTTGGTTCACAGCAGGCTTGTGAGACTGCATCCTTCAAACAATAGGTGCTAGAGTTCTCAACAGATAACTTCAAGGAGCCCTGTGCCAGGGAGTGATGTCCCTCAGCAAACCTTTTGGTGGCAGGCGCAGGGTGAGTTTGCTCACATCCTGCATTCATGATAAACAGTTAGCTGTTTGATCATACAGCCTCCAGTGGAATGCTGAGTTGGTCACGATCCCTTTGGCATTTTCGGCTCCCAACAACTCCTATCGCCTAATGACCGCTTAGCTGTCATAAGGTTACAGCACCACATATTATGCAAATATCTGTGGTGATGCTGGTGTAAAGAAACCTACTGTGCTGCTAGCTCTATGAAAGTACAGCATATACAATTATGTACAGTATTTAATACTTGATAATAATAATAAATGACTATGTTAGTAGTTTATGTATTTATTACACTATAATTTTAAAACCCTATTTTAGGGTGTACTCTTTCTACTTATATAGTTTTTAAAAAGTTAACTGTAAAGCAGCCTCAGGCAGGTCCTTCAGGAGGTATTCCAGAAGACGGCCCTGTTATCACAGGAAATGTGAGCTCCATGCATGTTACTTGCCCCTGAAGACCTTCCAGTGAGACAAGGTGTGGAGGTGGAAGGCAGTGATATTGATGACCCCGACCCTGTGTACACTAAGGCTAATATATGTGTTTCTGTCTCAGATTTAAAAAAAAAAAATTTAAAAAGTTAAAAAAAAATTAAAATAGAAAAACTTATAGAATAAGGATATAAAGAAAATATTTTTGTATAGCTGTACAATGTGTGTTTTAAGGTACTATTACAAGAGTCCAAAAGTAAAAAAAAAAAAAAAAAAAAAAGTAAAAGCTTGATAAACTAAAAAAGTTACAGTAAGCTGAGGTTATTAAGAAATGTTTTCAATAAATTTCGTGTAGCCTAAACGTACAATGTTTATAAAGTCTATAGCAGTGTAACGTCCTGGGCCTTCACATTTACTCACCACTCACTGATTCACCCAGAACAACTTCCAGTCCTGCAAGCTCCGTTCATGGTCAGGGCCTTACACAGGTGTAACACTTTTTCTCTTTTACATCGTATTTTTTTACCAAACCTTTTCTATGTTTAGATACACAAATACCTACCATTGTGTTGCAATTGCCTACAGTACTTTGTACTAACCTGCTATGCAGGCTTGTAGCCTAGGAGCATTAGGCTATACCATATGCCCTGGGTGTGCAGTAGGCTATACCGTCTAGGTTTGTGTATGTACACTCTGCATACACAAGCAATGATGAAATCACCTAGTGACACATTTCGCAGAACATATCCCCATCCACAGTGACATGTGACTGTATTTTAAAGATGTTCTTTATATAAAAGATAAACTTAAAAAAAAATACAGTGGATAATTTTAAACTCCATCCTTTCTTACCTCATCCAGCTGTCACTGCCCTTCTTTTGATTAGACTCAGGATTCTCTTCAAATTCAGACACAATAACACTGCCTCCTGAGCTGTGATAATGACTCTATTACTCATTTCCCAGCTAGGCTCCAACAAAATTGCAAAGGGCCACCATGTTTGGCCTCTCTACAAAATTGCAAAGACTCTCTTATGCCCTGTTCCTCTACCTTACCTTTTCCCTCTTTTCAGAAAAACTGATTCTTCTGATCTATTTTTATTTCTTCATCAAAACAATAAAATTCATATGAAACTGATAGCACCCATAAGGCCTCTCCTTCAGCCCCAGATATGGAAGAGGCAATCTGGGACTCTACTTTCCTCAGTATGTACACTTCTCTTAATTTAAATATTTAACTTTTGTAAATTGGTGTTTCACAGTCCTGAGGAATGCTTTAAGCACACAATAAATATTAACTGAAATCAAATCAGTATCTCAGTGCACTAGTTTAAACATGTACATTCCATTATGTGCAGTAAGAGTATGATATTGTAGTAATAACACTTTAGTAAAACGGTCACCGTTTTCCTCTAAACAAGGCAAGGTAGGATCAAGCCCTTTAGGAAATTAAGAGTGAAGGTTCAGGAATGAGAATGCTAATAAACTCAAATGAAATGCTTAGCTTGCCCCTGAACACTGAGAACATGTTTCTTCATGCCATTATATTCTAGAATTATGAAGAATTACTACACTTTTGTGGACTGGTGAATTTATTTAAACTGATCTAGAATGGTAATCTATACTTACTATCCATATCACCTTCCACACTGAAAAATTCTAAAAATACAGAGATCTACTTTATTAAGAAAACTTACATAAATATGAAAATATTCCAGAAACACTAAATTAAATCATCACGAAGTATAAACTGTAGTCACTGCTCAAATTTCTGAAGACCAAAGTGAAGGTGAAGAGATCTTTGAGTGCCTCAATATAGGACCATAGTCTTTCCATAATGGTAGAGCTCTCAGTCAAGATTTTTTTCAGTTTACTTAAACAAATATTTCATTATTCATATTGCTAATTTACCATGGCTGGTATAGGGGCGGGAGAGGAGGGAAGACATCCCATTTGTGTCATGAGAATAGGTCTGGAAGTGTAATATTAAATGGAGTATTATTTAATACAGATCCCATGACATCTCATTATACGCATAAAATGATCAGTATTCTATTTATCAAAGAGAAGGAAGAATTCTTTTCAAATTATTTAAGAAAAGGAAAAAAAATACCTATAATATCCTCCGGAAGTACATTTCTTTATTCCTTTTATCATCTCTTGATGTGTAATTTTAAACTCCCGTCCTGGAAAGAGAAGGGTGGCCATCACAGCAGCTTTAGAGTGGGTATGAATCACTGCACCTGCTCCTGGAGGAGGAGGAAGAAAGCTGCATGCTCAGTGAAGGCCGAATTACAGCTTTTAAAGAAAAAAAAGGCCATATAGTTATACATATATATACATATGATTATGGGCTTATTTTTCCTGGCATGGAATAAGTTGGTGGTGGGCACCAGGGTAAGTGGAATAATGGACTTTCCTCATAGGTTGATGTGAAAACTGAGTAAGTTCATGCACTTAAAGTTCTTGCATATGGTGGGTATCCAAGAAATGTTAACTGAAATAATAATTACCATTATTTAGAGGAGCCTACTCTGCAAATATTCTTTATGTTGAATACATTTTCTGCATACCTCTCATTGTGTAAGCATTCATGAAAAGAGGAGTACACTGGCTTTTTTTTAGCTTCTTAGATGGCAAAGGTCCACTTATGTCCTTTTCATTTATATCACAAACGAACATGTCTTCAGGCTATTTATAGAGGGAAAAAAAGAAAAAAAGAGGGCTTATAAAATACCAACTAGAAATGTTTCTTTTCTTGTGTACATATACACAAGAATACAAGAAAGTGTTTATCTATAGTATACATACTTGTGTATATATTTAGTATACATATACAAAGAGTGCTAATATATGTATATATTTAATTTACATTTTAAATATATAATTATAGTTTCTCAAAATAATTTAACAATTTTGAGAAATAAAAAAATGATTTCTACTGGTAAAAATATTCTCAAAAGTTTAATATAAATCTCAAAAATTAAAAAAATTTGAAGACAAAAAATGATAAGGAAAATTACTATTTATGTAATGATTTTACTGCTGTCATTTCATCAATTTAGCTTCTCAACTTTGCCCTATAATTTCACAACTATATTTCAGAGAGCCTATATAAAGAAATCGACATTCCAAAGACGGGTGTTAAAATTTTTTCTCCACATTTTGTAAAATAAAACCAAAATTTTGAGTAAAATTTTCTAACCCTTGAGAAATTTAGCTGGTACTCAGAAAGGTTAATCTCAATAAGGTATATTCTTCTTAAAGCTTAAGAAATTATGTAGATCTACAGGTTTTTCTTTTTTTTTCAACTTTTATTTTAGGTCCAGGGGTACATGTGGAGGTTTGTTACATAGGTAAATGGCATGTTACAAGAGTCTGGTGTACAGATTATTTTGTCACCCACGTAATAAGCATAGTAACTGACAGCAGTTTTTCCGTCCTCATCTCCTCCCACCCTTCACCCTCAAGTATTTCTGATTTGTAGCTTTTATCTGCCAAGGTTTATCAAAAAACTACAATATAAATGTTTTATTAACAAAGCAGCTTTTCTTTTTTCTTGTATTAGAAGTTAAATAATTATGTGTTTGCTTTAACTAGATTTGGGGTATTACTCCAGCATTAACACAGAATGAGACTTCTCAAAATCTGAAACAAAGTTTCATAACTTGAAATCTCGAAATTAGAATAACTTTGCTATTATGAAATATGAATTAATTTGTTTCATCTGAGACCATCAATCTGATTATTCCACCAGCCTGATAAAGATCGTAGTGTTATAAAGCTGCAAAGTCATACTTGTTCTTTACTGTGATTTAAGACTGCACTATTCACTTTTGCCCCCTATAGGCTGAATAAGATTTCAAAACATACACTGGTTGTATGGAGGATATCTACCACCTTAAAAAACATTTAATAATTACTCAATAAATGTTTGTTGATTAGTTATTCAAATTGTTGTGATAAAATGAACGTTTTCTTTTAAAATTAATTCCATTTCATAAAACAGTAATTAAGAAGAAGAGACACTGAGGTTAAAGAATCCCTTTATCATACCTGAATTCGTTCCTTTTGCACTCCTGAAGGAGCAATGTAGATTTCATCGCTGGCAACACAAAACATACAAATTGGTATTTATTTATTTCCTGCTTTTGCACAAAGAAAAGTATATCTTCACAGTCCAATCATGCATGTTCTTTATAAATCAAGCAATACAGCCAGTTGCTTGATTTAATTATGGATTTTGGCTGCATAGAAAGTAAGTCAAACTACATCAATGCCTTTGTAGTGCTGGTGGCATAGTAGAATTATTAGTTGTTGCTTTTGTCTTCCACGTTTTCATATATATTTATTCTTTTTATAGTGCAAAGTTGGTGGTAACCAGGTTTTTGTCCAGTTAGGGGAATAAAAATCTGAAAACATAAGTCTTCGGTGTCTTTAAACATGAATAAGCAGAGTTTAACCTATGTGAAATACAGTTATTCTAAAATCCAATCTGGAAAATATGCTCAATAGAAGTATATTTCTGTCATGCAAAGAATCAGGTTTGATTTATTGTTCGAAATGCTCTTATTAAACCATGAAGTTCAGAGACCTCTGCTGGACGGTTTCTTAAATTACTGTATTAACACTGGGCTACTTTTTGGATAGAATCACATGCTTCCCATTTGAAAAGCACATATATCTTGGAAAAAATTTAGTAAAAAGCTAAAACAACTAAAAAGAGTTCAAAATATAAGAATGGCTACATGTGAAGATCTCTTTGTTACAAGATGTTGGAATAAGGGAGATGCTATAGCCTACCATTTACCACAAGGTGCTCTCAAATTTGATTTGGAAATTAATTTCTTTTTTTTATTTTTATTTTTATTTTTTATTATACTTTAAGTTCTAGGGTACATGTGGATAACGTGCAGGTTTGTTACATATGTATACTTGTGCCATGTTGGCTTGCTGCACCCATCAACTCGTCAGCACCCATCAACTCGTCATTTACATCAGGTATAACTCCCAATGCAATCCCTCCCCCCTCCTCCCCACCCCATGATAGGCCCCGGTGTGTGATGTTCCCCTTCCCGAGTCCAAGTGATCTCATTGTTCAGTTCCCACCTATGAGTGAGAACATGCGGTGTTTGGTTTTCTGTTCTTGCGATAGTTTGCTGAGAATGATGGTTTCCAGCTGCATCCATGTCCCTACAAAGGACACACTCATCCTTTTTTATGGCTGCATAGTATTCCATGGTGTATACGTGCCACATTTTCTTAATCCAGTCTGTCACTGATGGACATTTGGGTTGATTCCAAGTCTTTGCTATTGTGAATAGTGCCGCAATAAACATACGTGTGCATGTGTCTTTATAGCAGCATGATTTATAATCCTTTGGGTATATACCCAGTAATGGGATGGCTGGGTCATATGGTACTTCTAGTTCTAGATCCTTGAGGAATCGCCATACTGTTTTCCATAATGGTTGAACTAGTTTACAATCCCACCAACAGTGTAAAAGTGTTCCTATTTCTCCACATCCTCTCCAGCACCTGTTGTTTCCTGACTTTTTAATGATTGCCATTCTAACTGGTGTGAGATGGTATCTCATTGTGGTTTTGATTTGCATTTCTCTGATGGCCAGTGATGATGAACATTTTTTCATGTGTCTGTTGGCTGTATGAATGTCTTCTTTTGAGAACTGTCTGTTCATATCCTTTGCCCACTTTTCGATGGGGTTGTTTTTTTCTTGTAAATTTGTTTGAGTTCTTTGTAGGTTCTGGATATTAGCCCTTTGCCAGATGAGTAGATTGCAAAAATTTTCTCCCATTCTGTAGGTTGCCTGTTCACTCTGATGGTAGTTTCTTTTGCTGTGCAGAAGCTCTTTAGTTTAATTAGATCCCATTTGTCAATTTTGGCTTTTGTTGCCGTTGCTTTTGGTGTTTTAGACATGAAGTCCTTGCCCATGCCTATGTCCTGAATGGTATTCCCTAGGTTTTCTTCTAGGGTTTTTATGGTATTAGGTCTAAGATTTAAGTCTCTAATCCATCTTGAATTAATTTTTGTATAAGGAGTAAGGAAAGGATCCAGTTTCAGCTTTCTACTTATGGCTAGCCAATTTTCCCAGCACCATTTATTAAATAGGGAATTCTTTCCCCATTTCTTATTTTTCTGAGGTTTGTCAAAGATTAGATGGCTGTAGATGTGTGGTATTATTTCTGAGGACTCTGTTCTGTTCCATTGGTCTATATCTCTGTTTTGGTACCAGTACCATGTTGTTTTGGTTACTGTAGCCTTGTAGTATAGTTTGAAGTCAGGTAGCATGATGCCTCCAGCTTTGTTCTTTTGATTTAGGATTGTCTTGGCAATGCGGGCTCTTTTTTGGTTCCATATGAACTTTAAAGCAGTTTTTTCCAATTCTGTGAAGAAACTCATTGGTAACTTGATGGGGATGGCATTGAATCTATAAATTACCTTGGGCAGTATGGCCATTTTCATGATATTGATTCTTCCTATCCATGAGCGTGGTATGTTCTTCCATTTGTTTGTGTCCTCTTTTATTTCACTGAGCAGTGGCTTGTAGTTCTCCTTGAAGAGGTCCTTTACATCCCTTGTAAGTTGGATTCCTAGGTATTTTATTTTCTTTGAAGCAATTGTGAATGGAAGTTCATTCCTGATTTGGCTCTCTGTTTATCTGTTACTGGTGTATAAGAATGCTTGTGATTTGTGCACATTAATTTTGTATTCTGAGACTTTGCTGAAGTTTCTTATCAGCTTAAGGAGATTTTGGGCTGAGACAATGGGGTTTTCTAAATATACAATCATGTCATCTGCAAACAGGGACAATTTGACTTCTTCTTTTCCTAACTGAATACCCTTGATTTCTTTCTCTTGCCTGATTGCCCTAGCCAGAACTTCCAACACTATGTTGAATAGGAGTGGTGAGAGAGGGCATCCCTGTCTTGTGCCAGTTTTCAAAGGGAATTTTTCCAGTTTTTGCCCATTCAGTATGATATTGGCTGTGGGTTTGCCATAAATAGCTCTTATTATTTTGAGATACGTTCCATCAATACCGAATTTATTGGGCGTTTTTAGCATGAAGGGCTGCTGAATTTTGTCAAAGGCCTTTTCTGCATCTATTGAGATAATCATGTGGTTTTTGTCTTTGGTTCTGTTTATATGCTGGATTATGTTTATTGACTTGCGTATGTTGAACCAGCCTTGCATCCCAGGTATGAAGCCCACTTGATCATGGTGGATAAGCTTTTTGATGTGCTGCTGGATCCGGTTTGCCAGTATTTTATTGAGGATTTTTGCATCGATGTTCATCAGGGATATTGGTCTAAAATTCTCTTTTTTTGTTGTGTCTCTGCCAGGCTTTGGTATCAGGATGATGTTGGCCTCATAAAATGATTAGGGAGGATTCCCTCTTTTTCTATTGATTGGAATAGTTTCAGAAGGAATGGTACCAGCTCCTCCTTGTACCTCTGGTAGAATTCAGCTGTGAATCCATCTGGTCCTGGACTTTTTTTCATTGGTAGGCTATTAATTATTGCCTCAATTTCAGAGCCTGCTATTGGTCTATTCAGGAATTCAGCTTCTTCCTGGTTTAGTCTTGGGAGAGTGTAAGTGTCCAGGAAATTATCCATTTCTTCTAGATTTTCTAGTTTATTTGTGTAGAGGTGTTTATAGTATTCTCTGATGGTAGTTTGTATTTCTGTGGGGTCGGTGGTGATAACCCCTTTATCATTTTTTATTGTGTCTATTTGATTCGTCTCTCTTTTTTTCTTTATTAGTCTTGCTAGCGGTCTATCAATTTTGTTGATCTTTTCAAAAAACCAACTCCTGGATTCATTGATTTTTTGGAGGGTTTTTTGTGTCTCTATCTCCTTCAGTTCTGCTCTGATCTTAGTTATTTCTTGCCTTCTGCTAGCTTTTGAATGTGTTTGCTCTTGCTTCTCTAGTTCTTTTAATTGTGATGTTAGAGTGTCAATTTTAGATCTTTCCAGCTTTCTCTTGTGTGCATTTAGTGCTATAAATTTCCCTCTACACACTGCTTTAAATGTGTCCCAGAGATTCTGGTATGTTGTATCTTTGTTCTCATTGGTTTCAAAGAACATCTTTATTTCTTCCTTCATTTTGTTATGTACCCAGTAGTCATTCAGGAGCAGGTTATTCAGTTTCCATGTAGTTGAGTGGTTTTGATTGAGTTTCTTAGTCCTGAGTTCTAGTTTGATTGCACTGTGGTCTGAGAGACAGTTTGTTATAATTTCTGTTCTTGTACATCTGCTGAGGAGTGCTTTACTTCCAATTATGTGGTCAATTTTGGAATAAGTGTGATGTGGTGCTGAGTAGAATGTATATTCTGTTGATTTGGGGTGGAGAGTTCTGTAGATGTCTATTAGGTCTGCTTGCTGCAGAGATGAGTTCAATTCCTGGATATCCTTGTTAACTTTCTGTCTCGTTGATCTGTCTAATGTTGACAGTGGGGTGTTGAAGTCTCCCATTATTATTGTATGGGAGTCTAAGTCTCTTTGTAAGTCTTTAAGGACTTGCTTTATGAATCTGGGTGCTCCTGTATTGGGTGCATATATATTTAGGATAGTTAGCTCTTCCTGTTGAATTGATCCCTTTACCATTATGTAATGGCCTTCTTTGTCTCTTTTGATCTTTGATGGTTTAAAGTTTGTTTTATCAGAGGCTAGTATTGCAATCCCTGCTATTTTTTGTTCTCCATTTGCTTGGTAGACCTTCCTCCATCCCTTTATTTTGAGTCTGTGTATGTCTCTGCATGTGAGATGGGTCTCCTGAATACAGCAAACTGATGGGTCTTGACTCTTTATCCAGTTTGCCAGTCTGTGTGTTTTAATTGGAGCATTTAGTCCATTTACATTTAAGGTTAATATTGTTATGTGTGAACTTGATCCTGCCATTATGATATTAACTGGTTATTTTGCTCGTTAGTTGATGCAGTTTCTTCCTAGCCTCGATGGTCTTTACATTTTGGCATGTTTTTGCAATGGCTGGTACCGCTTGTTCCTTTCCATGTTTAGTGCTTCCTTCAGGGTCTCTTGTAAGGCAGGCCTGGTGGTGACAAAATCTCTAAGCATTTGCTTATC